TGCGATTGGTAATACCAAAGCACCCACCATGGACCCAAGCGCCGAACACCAAGTATTTGGATAGGTTCTCAGAAGCCATCAATGCTCGCGGTTTTGCCAATGATGCCTTGAGATTGGTACGAATAAGCCCAGCTAGCTTTTCGAAGGTCTTGAAGCTGTAATCGTTAGCCTCGAACGATTGTTGAGCGAAGTCCTCGACAACCTTTGATGCATCCGGAGCTGCTGCTACCGAAACCTTGTTGTCAACCTCGACCTTCGACTCGGGTTTGCACCCGGCTATGTTCGCGCTGGTTGTATGTCCAATAAGCTTCAAGGCATGCGTCCACTTGTTCTTTTCAGTGAAAGGCTTCGTGAACACATCCGCCACTTGTTCGGCTGTACCAACATTCAGTAATTTGAAATGCCCAACCTCATATTGCTGCTTTAGCCATGAGAAACTCACCCTCTGTGTCCGATCAGTATGTCGTAGAACACCAGCTTGCCCTAGCAACAAAAGAGTGATTGTCGCCTGGTTATCCTCCATATGTCTAACTTCGAAACTTTCAGGAAGCTGGACACAGAGGCCGTTGATGTCTGCGATTGACAACCCATCCGGTCTAGTGGACCCATAACGAATTTCGTCAAGTTCAGGGTCAATGCGTGCAACTATCGAATCCACCCTCTCAGCCCTTGGCTCGGCCTTGCGGCCGGCATCTCCACGCCATAGGAAATACCACAAGCTCAGGCAAGGTAGACCTTCGGCACGTAAACCGTGATTCGCTGCTACAACTTCGGACTCAGTAGAGCTCATTGTAATAGATGTTTGTTTCTTGCTGAAGGCATTGAGGGGAAAGTACGTGTTCGGTCCAACCAAAAACATCGCACATCCTGTAGTCGATTTTGAATCGAATTCGCCCGCAAAGTCGGAATCGCTGAACAACCACAGTCTGCAATCCATTATGCTGTCGCCTATGAAACCGCTCATAGTGACATCAAGCGAAGAGTTGATGTAGCAAACCAACCTGTGAAGTCCCAAGTCGCAATCTGGGCTCCACTTGGTCACCCTCGACGCTAAAGACTGTGTTGCCCTTAGAAGGTCCCATCTGGCCATGCGAGCAGCGAACAAAATCTTCATTAGTACCTTACTAGCAATAGGTTGCAAACGCCCTGCCTTCTCTCCTTCGGAAGCTGTTGGCAAAGCCACACGTAGCTCATGGAAGGGGGTTGCAGCTGGTTTCAGGGTCTTACGCTCTACCTTAGCAAGTTCGCAGTACCGATCAACGCAAGAGTCGAGAAAGTCCTTCATATCGTACGTGATGCGAGTGACTGGCTTGGTCATCGCGCCGGGCTTCTCTTTAACGTCTTGCGACAATGTAACAAACTTGCTCTGCTTCGCCTCCTTTTTAGCCTCAGACTTGTTACGAACCGGCTTGCCCTTGCGGGCAGCTGCAACTGCCAGCTCGAAATCAGACTGTTCCCGGCCTGCGAGGTCGAAGTAGGTTTCGCCGTCCCACCAATCCTGAAGACAGCGATCGCGCATTTGATTGCAACTGTCAACGACAACTTCCTCCGACTCACCCTTGCGGGTGGCTTTAGCCACCACAGTGTATCTCCGAGGGCCGATCCCCGGGAACATTCTAGCATCATCCTCGTTGGGGACATAAAGTCTTTTGCGAGGATAACGGTGATGTCGGATTGCTATGAGATTCTCGGGGTCAATGTCCCAATAGTCTTCTTTTCTAGCAGGAGTTGCAGCTGATGATTCGGGCTCAAACACATGACGAAAAGGGTGTGCTTCCTTGGGCAGCTTGAGGTTGTGTTCTTCCTTGTGCATGCACCCAAAGTATCTACCAATGGCTTCCGGAAGATCCATATCAATGACGCTCGAAATCAAGTCCCATCCCTCCTTGATAGAGTTCTTAGGGCCAGCGAGTTTGAAGTCATCGACGTATACCACTAAAAGCAGCTTCTTCTTCGGGTGGTAGAATACACTCTTCCAAATGTCAGTCAATACTGCCTCGAACCCGACTTTCTTCAACTCAGCTTCGCAATGATGTTCCCAAATCCCCCCTGAATCGGGGTGTCCGTAAAGTGCCAACTTGAGTGGAACAACAGGATCTTTCATGCCCTGCCATGCCTTAGGCCAGCGATTGCGAGGCAACCGTACCCAAGTGGCAACCCCTTGGAACAAAGCTTGGGTGTATGCTTGCTTGGCGTCGGCCTGCTGGATGATGTAGCCAGGTTGTGAGCCAAAGACGTCAAGAATCTTTCCTGCTTCCATAGATGCAGGACTGCTTGACATCTCCGCAAAGAGCGCGTGATCGGCGTTTTCATCAAGTACTTTATTTCCCTGAAATACCGAACGTCCCTTATACTTACGGTTGGGGTCGCCTTCTTTCAGCTCGGCTCCCTTTAGGGTACCAATCTCAAAAACATTGCCAAAGTGAACCTTGGTTTGAGATTTCTTAGCTTCGTTGGCAACCGACTCGAACTCCCTGACTTTGCCTTGTACCCAGCAGCCCTTGTCAACCAATTTCTGCCATTCTTTGTCCATGGCAGCCTGCGCCTTAGGGTTTGTTGCAATCTCCTTAGACGACAGGACCTTGGCGACAACAGCATACATCTCATCTGCGATCTGAAAAAGCTTCTTGTCATATAGCCCTTTGAGTCGTTCCCGATGTTCCTCGCTACACCCATGTAGGACTGGCATTGCAGGTACCGCCTTTACAGCTTCACGATACAGTGCCTCATTCTCCTCATGTAGCTTCTTCTCATGTTCTGCAATTGCTGTTGCTCTTTGTCTTTTCGACATAGCCTTCCATGCAGTATGATCAATAGCGTTAGGGCGGTTCTTGTTGTTCTTCTTGACCAAACATTCCCCACTCCACGTATAACCATACGGTGGTTCTTGCGCTGCTACTGCTGCGCTGGACTTCAGCTTCTGCTTCACAGAGAACGGAACATCATCAAGCAATGCTGCACGGGAATCAGACTTTGACTCACCCTTGCGGGTGGCTTCTTTCGCGTCCTTCGGCGGAGGATCTTTATCACGGTCAGGACCAAATAGCTCTGGGAACATTTCATCCAGGTCTTCGCTAAGTTGTTCCTGAATTGTGGCTTCATCGTATCCCCCCCCTTCCTCCAGAGGAGGATGCGGGTTTTGCTCATCAAGGACGTTGTGATGTTGTGCATCAAGGCTTGGTGGTTTATCCAAGGCAGGCTCTTGCAACAAAGGAAACTTAAAGTCACCATCTGGTAGCTCCAGTCTCTTAGTCCGAAACACACGTAGATCTTCGTTTTCCAACGCGGCTTCGATGTTGTGTAGGGGAGCAACAACGTACTCAAGCTTGAAGATAAAACCAGGTTGGATGTGATACCCAAGGAATATACCTTCAATCCCTGTGCCAGCAAACTTGGATCGTTCAGGCTTGCGTTGCTTCTTCGGGGCCCAGTAGAGGATTTTCGCTCCAAAGGGAATGCGCATGCCGTTGAACTTTTCACCGTACCTGATTTCCCACGGAATCTGACCATTGTCAATCCTCGCAGTGATGTTAAGACACATAGCATGATGTTGTGATGCGAGAGGCCAATAGCGATCTGGAAGTCCTGATTGCACTAGATTGGCCCGTGTGCCTTCCAAAATTGTTCTGATTTCTCGCTCGATTACGGCCTTGTTTTCGTTCACATACTCTCTAGAAGTGTTGTGACGAGCGCGAAGCTGTCTGGCCGCAAAGTCAAACTCCAACGCATTGTCGGAATATATAACCTTTACCTCATCATCTGTACCAAGGAAGTGCAACATGTCTTCGTAGCACTGCTCACCAGACTTTGTCTTGGAAGGGTACACGTATCTAAACTTAGAATACACGTCCTTCACAACATGAGCCACGGTTTCATCTTGGAACCCGTAATCCTTGGCATCAGCGGTCACGATGTGATCTACTGTGATGTGGTCACCGAACGATTTACTGTAGATTGTAGAGGATCCACCAGATTTACGCGCCTGGGGCGCATACATCTTGGCCCTTTGACAAATGGGGCAGAACGGATTCTTTGGTCTATGGGTAAGTCGATGTTCCAAAGACACAGCCTCAGCCCTCAAGGAAGCTTCATCCTTCTTAGACTTTGGCATTGTGTATGGCTCGACATCGCTGTCGGCTTGCGCCTCAACTTCCCCTTCAGGCAAAGCAAACAATGTGATAGTCGCAATAGTCCCTTCAGGTACTTCCCCATAGATTCCGTCCAATTCGTCAATGTTGACCGAATCCTCCAACAAAGACCACACGTCATCCTTGAATCCCCAAGTAGTCCGGATTCTATACCTCGGGAACTTAGGAGCCGGTGTTCGAAACGTCTTTGGGAAATGTGCCACCTTAGCAGCGGGGCTGCCGTTGATGACAGTCCAACCTGCCTTTAGCAGTTGCCTCGTTTCCACCCCAGGAATGGGAGGAATGCAATTCGCCATCTTTTCGATGGGATCTTCTGCCGCGCCAGCTGGACCTTCAGGTTCATGTTCGTGCTCTCCCCTAGCTGGTGCGGCGTGCCCTTGCGGGCAGCTGTTTACCGAAAACCCGAACCAGATTTGACAGAGGTCGGTGCAACCTTGCTGCCATCAGATTCTGAGGACTTTGCTGCTAAGCATGCCATCAATGGTCCTCGGTCGCCAAATACGGGGACATTGCCTCGGAGCTGGCAAATCATCTTCTGACCGTCTGGGCAAATGAAATATGGCGCCTCACCCGCTGGCCAGTGGAAAGAGAACCCCTGTTCCATGCACTTCTTTCCTACAGAACAAACTGCAGGTGTGTTGGGGAGCTCAACGAACTGCAATGGGTTCCTCAATGACTCAATGTAGACCTCATGCTTGGTATCAGCGTCTACTGGTCCGTTAGCAGTGATCAAACTCACTGGGTTGGAAGCAACCTTCTTAGCCTTGCCCTTGAAATGGGCCTCCAAATCAGAGTGACTAATCAGATCTTCCTCGCTACCGGTGTCTGCGATGATTTCGAGGTTCTCACCTGTCACCGCCGCTGCAGCACGTTGGGGCAGGGGAATAGCTTCTTTGCAGTGAATGCAGAATCCTTCTCTACCCCGACACCTGTAGTTACACTTGACCCGAACCTTAAGCTTCATCCCGTTCACTGCTGATTCCAAGTGACGGGCATTTTGCAAAGCTTCTTCGGTGTCCTCTGGAATAGATGGTGGGCATAGCTCCGCAGACTTGTACCTGAATTCGAACTTGTGCTTGTCTGGTACGAAGCTCCAGCCTTCACCCTCAGGCGGGATGTCAATGATTTCTGGCCTTAGGAACTGGACTTTCCTGCTTCGGGGCTTTCCGGCAGTGCCCTTGCGGGCTGCTACTGCGTAGGCCTTCACAGCATCGGCCGGTGGCTCACCCGTGAGGGTGGCTGTGAGGGAAAGACAGCAAGCGGCTGGCTTGTCCTCACTCTTTGGCCTTTTCTTACTGGGTCGCCTGCGCTTGCCGGAGGGCGATCTCTTCCCGTCCTTGCCAGCCTTATCGCCTTTGGCCGGGACAGAGGGAGCGGCATCCTTGTGCATGAATGGGCAATTCTTACCGTTCTTGCAGGTGCCTTTGGGGTAAAAGATGCAAGGAATCTTGGAGGTATCCTTCTTCTCCCCACCTTTACCGCCTTTACCTCCACCTTTTCTCGAAGGGGTACGTGGAGGTGTTCTGCCCCTTGTCTGTTCAGGAGTAGGCTTCACATGCTTGTATGGGCACTTATCACCTCGTGGGCACTTCCCACGCTGGAAAGCGTAGCAGGGCTTGTCCTGGCTTCGGCCGCGAGGGGTGTTCGGGGTATCGGAAGGAGCAGGGGCACCAAATCTGGCGCCGTGAGCTTTGGCGATTGCTGTGCGGTTTTTGCGAGTCCTATCTCTAGCCAATAGCTCTTTCACGCATTTGACCAAGTAGTCGTAAGTGCGTTGCTCTGTTCCTTCCTTAGCCCTGTCGTAAACCTCCAGATCAAACTTGAGCTTGCTAGCATTGCGAAGCTGACGAAGTAGAATATCTCTCAGCGTAGTCTCCTCGGGTTGGTGATTCAACCCTGCGATGACCGACTCCCAGTTGTGAATGAAAGTGCTAAGGTCATCACCATTCAACTGCACCTTGAGTAGATCTTCTACAGAGTAGAGGGAGCCTGCTTCTTCGTTGGTCTTAAAGTAGTGTTCGAACATCAGTAGAACCTGTCTACCACGAACGGCCCTACCAGCAGCTGCCTCAGACTCCTTGTAGTTAATGATCTGTCGTCCAAGATCACCCCTAGCAACCCTCGAGAGCGCCGAAAGGATCTTCATGTCCAAAGTGAGGAATTTACCCGTGTCCCTCAACTTCTCCGCATCGGCGTCCCTGGAGTAAACCTCTTGAACCCATTTGAATGCCTCATCGGGTCTGTCCGATGCTGCCCGAACGGCCTCCCTAACTGTGATCTTCCAGCTCCTATAAGTCTCCGGGTTAGGGAAGTCGGGTAGCTTCACCGTTTCAGCTTCCTTAGCCTTGGGTTTGTCATCATCAGGCTTCTGGATAACCGACTTGAGTGCTTCAGCGAGAAGTACGCTAGGCTCTTTGTTTTCAGTAGATTCTGCCGGTTCTTTGTTATCACTCTGTTCAGCAGCAGATACCGCTACATTGTGGGCCTTGGTATCCTCAGGCTCTCCAATGTCATACCGTTGGGTCCTCCCCAAAACCGTCCGAAGCGACACAGGAATCTCCCTGGGGTTCGGAAGGGTCGGAATCCATGAATGGCTAGGACCCTGAACAAGCGGCGCTGCGGCACCACCTTGCGGTGGGCTTGGTTGAAGTTTGGAGCTCTCACTGGGATCGACTTTCACCGGCACGGCACCACTTTGCGGTGGGCTACTCTCCGCTGTCGACAAGACAGTCCTGAGTGAGTCGACCTCAGCTATAAGCTCCGCGTTCCTGTCCTGCAGGTCATCAACCAAGCTATCATACTGCTGTGCCTCCGAGGTTAGCCTATGGTAATACTCGTTTTCTTCCCATTGAAGCTTTTCCTCAAACTCAGACCCTAAAAAGGCAATCATCTCACTGTGGTTTTCTTCAATACTCGAGCGCAATTCCGCGAAACGGCGTTCATGCTGTCTGTTTTCCGCAGTGAGCGTGCGCGCTGCTGCTTCCAGCTCGGATCGATGTGCATCAAACTGCATGGCCATAGACCTTTCATCATGACTTTCCCTTTGTGCGCGTGCCAGCTGTGCCTGCAGCTCATTGGCTGATTGTCGTTCTGATCGGGCAATTGTCTCTAGAACTCGTACTTCATTGTGTAGCTGTCCCACCAACAGGTGTGTGGATTGGCTCACAAATGCTAGCTGTTGACGATGATTCGCATCCGCTGTTGCCTCTAGGTGTGCAATGTATGCGTTGGCTTCGGCGTACACGTTGTCCAATGCAAATCGATGTCGTTGTTCCGCGCGAAGCTCCAAGGCACTTTGAATGCGGGGGTCATTCAGGAACAAGTTCACCTGAGTATTCTCCTGCAACAAATGCAAGAAGTACTGGTTCGCTTCCTGCTCCTGTCTACCACCAATACCACCGTCACCGTTGTTGCCCGAGGCCGTTGAGAACGGCACGATGTCCATTACGGAGCTAACTACGGCTGATAACCTGAAGTTTCCCAGGCTACCAGCTTGGCACGTCTAGTTACCGGTCAGTCAACCCTTGTGACCTTTTTCCACGGGGGACTTGGGCCAAGTGCGGTCGCGTAAAGACATAGCTAAGGACCATAGGAATAGCAATGGAGGCAGGGTAAAATCTACACATATGGCCCATGTGCGACTAAGACCCCGAAATCGAATCTAAACCTTAAACCCTCAATCCTAAACCCTCAACCCTAACCCTAAACCCATGTGCTACTAAGACCCCAAAATCGAAGTGGGACCTAAACCCTAAACCCTAAATCCAAACCTCTCGTCGCCGGAGCCTGCTCGAACCTCTTGGATCCTGCTGATCGCACTTGAACTAATGTAGGTGCCTCGTTAACTACAATGGGGTCTCTTAGGTCTTCCTTTTAAAGGGGTCTGCAAGGGTTCGAAGCCCATTCTACTAGAATTATGACAAGGAACCCGAAAAAAGGCGTAGGCAACCATTTAAGCCCCTGAAGCACCAGGACCATTGAGAAAGCTTTGAGAAGCAAGCATGGCAGGCGTAGGGTTTCGCCCTTCTGCAATTAAGAAGCACACAAGTATCCTAAACCCTAAACCTTCGAGATCTCCTGAACGCCCTGAGCCCGAGCCCCCTGAACCCGGAAACTCGCGAAGAAACCCTCCGAAACAACAGAAACTGCTGCCAGAGTTTAAGATGTCGGGTTTAGAAGTTAGGGTTTAGGGATTAGAGTTTAAGGTTTACATATTTGTACATTAATTTCCACCGATTTCTCGATACACTGACACAAACCCGGACCAACAGGGACCGAGGAGATCAGGGATTAGGCTAGGATACCCAGTAACCTAAGAAAAAAAGGCCTCTCTTTTTGGTATTGGGTAACTTTATAAGGAACCTAGGACTACAAAAAGGGAATAAGGGTACTACTGGGCATCCTAGGGGATTAGGGCTTAGCCTTCATGGAAGCATGGCACAAACCCTAAACCCTAAACCCTAAACCCTAAACCCTCAACCCTCAACCCTAAACCCTAAACCCTAAACCCTCAACCCTAAACCCTAAAAGAGGCGTGTGGCCACATCAGCCCTGAAGCCATGACCGCGTCAGGTCTTCGGTCTCCTTTTTGTACAAAACTCTTCGGTTTAGGGTTTAGGGCTTTTTGTACGAAACTCTTCGGTTTAGGGTTTAGGGCTTTTTGTACGAAACTCTTCGGTTTGGGATTTAAGGTTTTTTGTACAAAACTCTTCGGTTTAGGATTTAGGGTTTTTTGTACAAAACTCTTCGGTTTAGGGTTTAGGGTTTCGGGTTTCTTGTACAAACTCTTCGGTTTAGGGTTTAGGAACAATCAGGCTGGGTTCGGCAGCGTGGAGAACGATCTTCAACAGCCCGCCCACACAGGCCCACAAGATATGGTTACCCCGGAATGTTCACCAGGTGGCTACACAAAAACTGCGCGATGTAAAACTTCGCAGACTGCTGGGTAGTTGGATGCCCTCCAAGCTCTGGTCGAACTCGCCACGCAATGTCAAACTCTGAAGGCTGCTGGGTAGTTGGATGCCCTCCAAACTCTGGTTGAACCGGTGGCCAAACGTCAAACTCTGCAGGCTGCTGGGTAGTTGGATGCCCTCCAAGCTCTGGTTGAACTCGTGGCCAAATGTCAAACTCTGCAGGCTGCTTGGTAGTTGGATGCCCTCCAAGCTCTGGTTAAAGTCCATGCCAAACTTCAAACTCTGCAGGCTGCTGGGTAGCTGGATGCCCTGCGAGCTCTGGTTGAAGCTGACGCCAAACTCCAAACTCTGCAGGCTGCTGGGTAGCTGGATGCCCTCCAAGCTCCGGTTGAACCGGTGGCCGAACGTCAAACTCTGCAGGCTGCTGGGTAGTTGGACGCCCTCCAAGCTCTGGTTGAAGTCCATGCCAAACGTCAGACTCAGCAGGCTGCTGGGTAGCTGAATGCCCTCCAAAGTCTGGTTGAAGAGGATGCCAAATGTCAAACTCAGCAGGCTGCTGGGTAGTTGGATGCCCTGCAAGCTCCGGTTGAACTCGTGGCCAAATGTCAAACTCTGCAGGTTGCTGGGTAGTTGGATGCCCTCCAAGCTCCGGTTGAACTCGTGCCCAAATGTCAAACTCTGCAGGCTGCTGGGTAGTTGGACGCCCTCCAAGCTCTGGTTAAAGTCCATGCCAAACGTCAAACTCTGCAAGCTGCTGGGTAGTTGGATGCTCACGAAGCTCTGGTTGAACCGACTGCCAAATGTCAAACTCTGCAGGCTGCTGGGTAGTTGGACGTCCTCCAAGCTCTGGTTGAACCGCTCACAAAACGTCAAACTCCGCAGGCTGTTGGGTAGTTGGATGCACTGCGAGCTCTGGTTGAAGCTGACGCCAAACGTCAAACTGTGCAGGGTACTGGGCAGATGCATGCCCTCCAAACTCTGGTTGAACTGGCCACCAAACTTCAAACTCTGCAAGCTGCTGGGTAGTTGGACGCGCTCCAAACTCTGGTTAAATTGGTCACCAAACGTCAAACTCTGCAGACTGCTGGGTAGTTGGACGCCCTCCAAGCTCTGGTTGAACTGGCCACCAAACTTCAAACTCTGCAGGCTGCTGGGTAGCTGGACGCCCTCCAAGCTCTGGTTGAATTGGTCACCAAACGTCAAACTCTGCAGGCTGCTGGGTAGCTGGATGCCCTCCAAGCTCCGGTTGAACTGGCCGCCAAATGTCAAACTCTGCAGGCTGCTGGGTAGTTGGACGTCCTCCAAGCTCTGGTTGAACCCGTGGCCAAACGTCAGACTCTGCAGGCTGCTGGGTAGCTGGATGCCCTCCAAAGTCTGGTTGAAGAGGATGCCAAATGTCAAACTCAGCAGGCTGCTGGGTAGTTGGATGCCCTGCAAGCTCCGGTTGAACCAGATACCAAACGTCAAACTCTGCAGGCTGCTGGGTAGTTGGACGCCCTCCAAGCTCTGGTTGAAATGGCCACCAAACTTCAAACTCTGCAGGCTGCTGGGTAGTTGGACGCCCTCCAAGCTCTGGTTGAATTGGTCACCAAACGTCAAACTCTGCAGACTGCTGGGTAGTTGGATGCCCTCCAAGCTCTGGTTAAAGTCCATGCCAAACGTCAAACTCTGCAGGCTTCTGGGTAGCTGGATGCCCTGGTTGAGCTCTTGGCTGGAATACCATGTGAGCTTCATCGTTTCGTTCAGGGCAGCTATGTCTGACAAAGTCTTCTCCTCGAGCAGGCGCTGCCAAAGCATCGCGACACGACCCGCGCCTAGCCTCCGCACCACGTACCAGATCTCGTCGCACTGGACTTGATGCAGCAGGAGCTGGCGCTGATCGATGACGCTGCCACCGGATGTCAACACAAGCAAACCTGCTGGGTGGTCAAATCTGGCTGCGATGCGTTCCGCTACTTCCCACCCGGTTTCGGCAATGTGGATGTCCAGCTCAAAGCTGGAACCTGCCAGGCAAAGAACGTTCACCGTCCGCTTAGCACTGTCCACACCGGCCTCTGCAGGCTGTGGGACACTCAAAATCTGCTTCATGGTGCCTTCGGGCGCGTGCAATCGGCCATGGCGTCAGCGGCGCTTCCTTGACTTAGATGGCTAGAGTTTAAGATTTAAGGTTTGAGGAAGCCCCTAAAATGATTCCACACAAGAAATCATCCCACAAATATTCAGGATTTTGGGTTGAGGGCTTCCTGTGTGAGCTGAGATAATTAGGGGATTGCTGCTACCTTTGAAGATGCCTTGAAGGAGCTTCGGTAGAAGGGTGACTCTCAGAGGGAGTACTGGAATATGCCGGAAAGCCCTATTCTAACTACGAAGAGCCCTGTATAGGAACAGCGCCACTTATAATCCACCGGAACAGCATTGTAATACTCCAACTAAGCAGTGATTTTGGGGTTCCCTTGGCTCTTTCGCTCCTTATTTAATAGGGATTATCATCATCCCTGGCTCCTTGGCTCCTCCGATATCAATGGTTAGCCAATGTTCCCGGCGGAGGAGGAGTCTAGGGGGGAAAGGGGCCCCGAACCTCAAGGCGAAGACGAGGCCCGTGCCACTTGGAGAGGCAGTTCCTGCAGAACCCGGCCAAGTTCATGAGGTCAATGTTTTGCACCTCAGGAGTTCTCTTAATATCCTTTGGAAGAATCTGCTATAGCTAGAGTGGGGACCCGTTAGGAGTTGAGGGTTTGGGCCATTTAGAGATCTGGGATTCATTCGCGGTTTAGGTGCTGTCTCCTGAACTTCAATCCCTAAGCCCCAAACCCGTCACGATTCGACACTGAAAGAGATCCCTTCCACTCTCCTTCCGTGCTCTTCCGCGCAGGAGGATTTTGCACAGCTGGCATTGTGAGAATTTGGCGTCCTACTAGACAAAAGATAGGGTTCAGGAACCCTAGGAAATGATACTGCTACTCAATTCTTGAGCCTTCTATATTACCTCCTGGGTCATGTGGATGCTGAAACCCTGAACCCCACTTAAACCCGTTAAGACCCCTAAGGCCCCACAGACCGAAAACCCTAACGCCCTGAAGCCTGAACCCTGGCATTAAACAGAAATTGGGAGACCCTCTCCAAGCCCTAAACCCTAAACTCTAAAACCCTAAAACCGCAAACCCCAAAACACTAAACCCCGAAAATCTAAAACCCAAAACCCTAAACCAAAAACCCCAAAAACCCTTCAAACACATCTAATCCCCAAAAGACTCTAAAACCCTGAGAAAACCCTAAAACCCTAAACAGCCCAAACAACCTAAGCCTGTAACTGAAACTTAACGGAACCGTTATAGTAACCCTTAAAGGAACCCTATAGATCCCTTTATGAAAACTCTGAAACACCTACTTGGAGGATCATGGGACTTAGTAAGTAAGGTTATAAGTACCGTAATTGGGGTTACAAGTATAGTTAAACCCTAAACCCTAAACCCTAAACCCTCCTATTTATAACCCTAGTTACTAAGTCCCATGCCCTAAACCTCCGAGTCTCCGACGTCACTGCGCCACTGCAGGTG